TTTACACTTGTAAGTTTCCAAACAAGGAATACAATAGAAAACAGTCGACATAGAATGTAAAAATCTAGTTGGTTTTACCGCAACCATTTTTCAATAACTAAATTTTACAGTATGTAAATCACGTTATTTATATATTAAAAAAAAAATTACCATTTGTGGACAATTTATATTTGGAAATAAAAATCATTATTTCTTATCTGGTATTTTTACTTTATTTTATTTTTATTCAACGAATTTGTTAAATTTTATTTATTTCTTTTTTTTTTTTTAAAATATAGAAAAAATTAAATTTCCATATATAAGATAGTATCATTATTTAAAGTATTTTGAGAACGAATACGTATTAAAATTACATAATATAGAAGTTTATATTGGGAAATTTACAAAGTTCTTAAATATAAATACCATCATTTAATGTAGATTTATATATTGGAAATTTTCCAAATATAGATTTTTAAACGAGAAAATTATTTAATTGATAAAATGTATTTATTAAAACAAAAACAAAATTTATTGGATCTTAAATTTTGTCAAAAATATTTATATGAAATTCTTCCTTCATTAGAAGGTTCAACAGCAATAAGATTAAGAAAAAAAGAATTAGTTGAATGGTTAAAGAAAGAGAATATGAACGAATATGAAAAGTATTTTAGAATAAATTTTCTTCACATTTTTAATCTAGAGACGTATCTAAAATTATATAAAAACAATTTCACTCTTAAAAAAGAAACTTGGCGAATTGTTTTTTTCTTGATTAGAGATATTGAGAATATATTTGATTCAATTTGTAGAGTTTTTGGAAATAATTTTATTACACTTATTTCTGAAGCTGATTATAGAAAACAGTTTAATAACGAAAAATCACCAGCTTTTGTGGTTAAAGAATTTGTACGAAACGAGTGGGATATGATATTCTATGATATTTACGATAGAAGAAAATTTTTATTTTTCATTACGAAATTTGAAGTTGACGAATGGAAAAAGAATTTTGGTAAATTAATGTATTATAATGATGAAAAATATTACAAAAAAAAGATGAACTGGAGATTGAAAGAAGTGACAATTTTAAACTTGAAAGATAAAAGAGAAAATGAAATTGATATAATTTTAAATAATAATTTGACAAATTACAAAT